CTGCACCGTTCGTAGTTCGAGGTTCGTCTTTTGGATGTCCTGCCCATAACATTGGATTAAATTTTGAATCGGGAAGTATATATGTTTCAAGAAGGTAGTCGGAAAATGAGAAATCTGACGTCGGGCAATCTGATATTAATTGTGTAAAGGCATCTTCTACTTCTTCTGGGGGTAAATACGGCAAACCAAAAAAACTTTTAAGCCAATTCCCAATATTTGAATTTTTGTTATTATATTCAAGTAATAGTTGTTTGTTACTTTGAATGTGCCGAAACCAACTTTGAGCTAAATGAAAAGTACAAGCCACAATTTTATAGTTGGGATAAAGATTTAGTAAAGCATTGTGTGCGGAAATCTCAAAATCTACATGGAACTCTTCAATATTTAGTTCTTGGTTAAGCGTATGAACACATAGATCCTGAATTGTTATCCACATTGTATTATACGTTGAAATTGACTTACTTTTCAAAAAACAAAAAATTACAGGCACATAAAAATGATTTTGATAAATATGGATCGTGTATATCTGGTTAAACAATTTTGGACAGTAATCAAATGTACCGTCTCCAAAAACGTGTTGAGCATTACATAAAACACTTAAATTTTTCGGACAAGTTAAAAGTACTACATTTTCGTCATTACTTAAATAAATAAACTATTCACCTTTAAATAACAAATTTTCTTGCATTTCCCTAATCTGATTAATTGCTTCATTTACATTTTTTGGAAGCGTTGGAAACTGTTTTTTTTTCTGGCAGCGTACATAGAATTTCTTAGTAAATGAATATCACTATGTTTTAGATTATTACCTTGGTTTAAATGAAGTGTTTGTCTTATTATCTTACTCTGTTGTATGTGTAGTTGTGTTTCAGCTTTACGTTTCACAACACTGCGAATCATTTCCTTTTCAATTTCATTTTCTGAATACTCACTATGTTTACTATGATCATTTATAACTCGAATAACTTTGTTGTATAGTTTATATACCTACAACATACAAACCGTTGCATTTTTTATTGGTACAACGAAAATAAAAATCACCACTTTTTAAAACACGGTATTTGGTGAATTTAAAATTATTTACACTAATACAAATATTATTAAGATTCAAAAACTTCACTAATTTCTAAATCCATGTTCAGTAAATATAGGTTAGAGACTAGAGTCACAAATTCTATGTACGCACACTATAAGTTCTCGAGACGTACTGATTGTAAGGAATTTAATAACATTTCCGTACTCTTTATCGATGATTATCATTGCCTACTAAGTATAGTTATTTTCCGGTGGAAGACATAAGCGCCAAAATGAGATAAGAAAAAAAAATTCGTATACTACAAAAGCGCCAAAATAGTATCGTACATAAACTCATACTCCAAGTTCATACTCCAAACGTTTAATCTTAATCGACAAATGTATAATCTGATTACGATATATTGTCACATAGACAGTCGTGTGTGAGCAGTTTTGTGTTGTAACATATTGTTATAGTACCTACCTATTTCGTAAGCATTCGTTAAAATGGATTTTACAAAAACTGTTACGATTAAAGGTGTTGTGTGTATTTTGTTTAAAGAGCAAAAATATAGAAACTATTCTATATTCTAATATTCTATATAAAAATATTCTTATAAGAGAGCAATTTTCAAATAACTATTTATATAAAATAATATTAGTATAATATAGTATACATATATAATATCATTTTTATAAGATATATCATTTTAGAAAAACTACTTATATAAAATATTTATTTTGGCGCAAATGATATGTAATTTTTAACAGTTAACAGTTAAGTTAATGAAATTAACTTTAACTTTTTAACTCGTTAATGCCCAGCCTTGCATTTTTGCACCTTTGGCGCTTATGTCATATAGCCTTATTTTCGTGTGCGCAAACCAGTTGTACATTTAGGATAACCGTGTGCGCAAATGAGTTCCGATTTTTCAGGTAAAAATTATAAAATGTGCGCAAACAAGTTGCAGCCTTATAAATAGTTACTGCTATATCAGTGTTTCGGAATATGTAACGGAACATCGTGCGTATGCGCTCGTAGCAGGTCAACGTTGTTAACCCTTCTAGCCTGATTGTCGAGAATTGATTAATTCGTTTTTCAATACAATATATTTTAATCTTTTTAATAGCGTCGTAATAATTCTCGGCGTTAATTGTCGTCTAATGATTATTTTTAAGATTCGAAACAAATTTATTATTATCATTAAAAATTTCCTGCGGCGGTAAATCGTTATTGTTTATTACATCTCTTATCGCTGGATGCGTTATTAATTTATCATTTGAAATAGGTAAAATTATATTTTCATTATTTTGCGCGTGTTTTATACTTCCCTCTATTTCGGTTATTTTGGAATTAAAAATCGGTTTAGTTTCTGCTTTTTTGAAATCGCTAATTGGCTCATCATTGGTAACAACATGTATACGTGATAAGCAATCCGCGTTCGAATGCTGTGAGCCTGCTCTATAGATTATTTCGTAATCGTATTCCTCGAGCTGTAATCGCCATCGCATTATCAGAGACGAAACGTCTTTTATATTGAATAAATACGTTAATGGACGGTGATCGGTGATTATTTTAAATTTTTTTCCGTATAAGTAAGGCCTAAAATACTTTACAGCCCATACTATCGCTAACAATTCTTTTTGTATTACGCTATAGTTTGTTTCATCGGTATTTAGCGTTCTACTTGCGTAAGCTATGGGTTGATCTTTAGGTACGTCACCTTGAGACAAAACCGCTCCAATTGCGTATTGGCTTGCACCGGTCAGGAGGTTAAAATTTCCGTTTTCCCAATTAGGGTAGATAAGTAGAGGTGGATTCATTAACGCATTTTTTAATTTTTGGAATGCGTCTTGAAACATATCCGTCCACACGAACGGTCTGTTTTTCTTTTTATAAGCTAGTAAGAGGTGTTGCTATTTTGGCAAAGTTATTAACGAATCGGCGGTAATAATTTAATAAACCCAAGAATGACTTTACGTCTTTCTCGTTTAGTGGTCTCGGATATTCTTTAATACAACTTAATTTGTTTGGATCAGGCGTTACCCCGTTTCCGCTGATAACGTGCCCAAAATATAACACCTCTTTACGTAGAAACATACATTTACTAGGTTGCAATTTCAGTTTATGTAGTCTTAATTGCGTAAACACCTGATCTAACCTATTCTGATGAACTACTAAACTTGACAAGTGGACTACAATGTCATCTAGGTACGCCGTACATAATTCTTCCAAGCCCATTAAAATAGATTTCATGGCTCGAGTAAAAGTTGTCGGCCCAGAACTAAGTCCAAATGGTAAACGTAAAAATTCATAATGCCCTGATTTTGTAGAAAAAGCTGGTTAATGGGTGTCTCCCTTATCAATCATTATTTGACGATAACCACTGGCAAGATCAAGTGTAGAGATACCTAGATGAGCCTAAGGATTCTAGTATCTCTAATATATTCGGTAAGCCGTATGCTCCATTTTCCGTAACCTAGTTTAATTTTCGGAAATCTACACATACTCGTAACTTTTGGTTACCGTTCAAATCTTTTTCTTTTTTACTACCACTAGTGGAAAATTAAATGGTGATAACGAATTACGTATTATATTCACGTCTTTCATTTCTTTTACTTGTTTTTCTATCTCGTCCTGATACGCGTGCGGTAGCCTATATGGACGTATGTTAATCGGTTTAAAACACCTAGGTGTATTAATTCTATGCGTAACAATGTCAGTTGCACTCAAAAGATCGCCTTCGAGAAAAAATAGATCAGAAAAACGACTACACAGGTCTAATATGTTATCGCGTTCTTCGTGATTAAGATGCTCGGTATTAATAGTTTCTTTGATCCTTTTAATTCTATTCGAAGAGTAGTTGTTGCTTTCGCTAGCAATAAAAACGTTATCGTGGTACGGTTCCCATTTAAAATTACTCGTGGTTAATTGTTCGATTATAAACGGTTGTTCGGATATATTTATTATATTTCTTATTATTTTATCTCCTTTGACAGGACTGATACTATTAGCTATAACTACGTCTTCATTAATTTCATATTTCTTTATGGTTATTGCTTCGTAATTGATTTCTTCGTCGACTCTTATTTGTAATACACAATTACTCCTCGGCGGAATAATTAGTGCGTTATTACTTACTTTTTCTGGGATTATTAATACTTCTATATCCCAATCCAAAACGACCTTATTTAATTTCAAAAATGATATGCCTAATATACCTGCTTCGGGTATTGGAAAATTATCATGCACAATGTCGAATTTTACTACGAAAGGTTGTTTGTTAATATAAATTGGAATCACTACTGTTCCCACTGTCTCTACTGGACTTGCATGAATAACTTTAATTTTTTTCTTATCGTTTTCGTTCACGATTATATGCTCTTTTAAACTTGAAATTTTTATAATGTTCATTTCAGAACCGCTATCAATTAAAAATTTGATTTCGCATTTAACAAATTTATCGGAGAAACATTTTATATGTTCCCGCGTTATAGGCGTTATTATGCGTACGTTACTTCCCGATTGTATTTCTTCGATGGATCTATTTTGATCACACCGATTATTTTTCTCTTCGAGTTTCTTTTTTTTTATTGTATTTTAATTTACGACATTCGCTAATGTCATGATTAGTTTTTTTACAATATTAGCAAAATTTACTAGAATATTCGCGTTTAATTTCTGTCTTCGGGCTTTGACCGCTGTTCGGATTTCTAAAAGTAGGTAATTTATGTTCGCTAGTTCTACACTCGTTTGCGTAATGACCGACTCGTTCGCAAAGGTGGCATTTAACCACGCTTTTATCGTTGAACTTTTTTTATCTTAACTTTTTTTTTATTTTTATTATTCTAAAACTTATTATTCCCGAACGCGTTATTATAATATTCGGTGGATTTTTCCTCCTCCATTGCGTGTAAAACTGCTGCCTCGAATACTTGAATATTGCGCGCTTTTAATATAATTCCGATAGACCGTGAGACTCCCGCTATGAATAGCGCATGCGCTCTGTTTGAGCTATAATATTGACTTCCGCCTGGTCTTTATCTACCGTTAACGCGTGTGTTAATTCGTGTGCAGTTTTTTCAATTCTAATCGAGAACTCTTTAATCGATTCTTTCGAATTTTGACGCATTTGACTTAATTGTACCTGTAAGTACGATACTGAATGTGCTGAACCAAAAACGGTTTTAAATAAATTCTTTAATTCATCCCAGGTGGTAATTACCTTATACCTAACGGCCTCAAATGCATTACCTTTTAACTGGGTTATTATAGTTTCTAAAATAATGGGTTTTAAACTATCAGGCAGTGTTGCCATTTTATTTTACAAGTATATCATACAATATCTATAAAATTATTGTATCCAGCGTAAAAATTATCGTATAAAAAATTAGATAGACAAAAAGGAAGCTAACTCTGATTCTGATCCTAACGCAAATGAAGGTACTAACTTGATTGCCCCTTCTAAACTTAGTTGATCTGGATTAACCATCTTAATTCTTAGTGTAACGGGATTATATGCAACTATTTTCCAATTAGATCTATCTACAGACATACAATATTTTATTTAATTGACTTACAAATTTTCATCCTGTAGTCTCAATTAACCGTGAAAAATTGATTTTTTTGAAAACGTCCTTCCTGGACTGCCCTTGCTTGCCCTTGATTGAATGCTCTTACTGCCCTCACTGGACTGACCTTGTTTGAATGCTCTTGCTGCCCCTACTGGACTGACTTTGTTTTGAATGCTCTTTGGTTATCCTTCTCCTTGACGTTGTGAACGTGGTTTCGTCGGTGGGTCTCAAAGTACTTTTTTCGATGTACTCGAAAAGTTTTCGTCTGATGAAGTGAACCCCACACCTGACACCAAATTTTATGTAGTAACCCGTCGCTCTCACTTGATTGGTTACTGCACACTTTTCTAACGACGAATGCACGTATACGTCATCGCACTGAATCGGAGGATGGTGGTTGAAGTGAAGATAGAATAAGTAGTTTAACACAAAATGTAGTTAATTATTGATATATGTTTATTAACACGAAACTAATAATATAGTTAATTGTAAGTACCTAAGTTAAAATTTCTCGACAGGTTGTTCAGGCAACCTAACCTTTGGAACGCCGTTTTTGGGCAAAAACGTCGGTTTACTACACGTGTATTATATCGTTCTATGCGGCGTCGGACTGAACTAAAAGCGCTAGTAGTTAGGAGGCCTTAGAGGCCTTTTACATGTAGAACATATTATAGCCATTCAAAGTATTTTAGTAATAAGTAATGGTTACATTCTCGAAGAACTATCATATTATACCTTTTTTTATAGATAATGATAAGCACATCGTATAATGTTTTCAAAACGAATTTCTAGGATAAATGGTTGATGAGATATCAGCAATAAACAAACATAATATCGCCGTACCCGGTAGAAACATTTACCACATTTTGTAATTTTTTTACTATTATAGGTTTTCATGTAAGACGTTAGTGCTGTTCACTGCTCAGTGTTCGTGTGTATCGTTTTTGTGAGTAATTTCTAATTTATTGTAAGAATTAATATTACCATGGTGAAAAAGTGTTGCATAGTGGGTTGCACTTCTGGTTATAAAAGCAACTCGGTAAAAGTTCCCCAGTTTTCAGCACCTAAAAATGTAGAATTAAGGAAAAAATGGCAAAGATCAATTCCGAGAAAAGATTATGTGGTCAATGATCAAACATTTGTGTGTTCAGAACATTTTACAGAAGATGATATTTTGAAGTTTTGGGAATTTGGTGGAATAAAGGTAAGTTAATCTATTGGTTATACCATCTTTAATCTTATTAATCTACTAATTTAATTTGACACTATGTACTTTATTAAAAATAAAATTACACCTTATATTTATTTCTATCATACCTCAAATTATTTTACCAAGTACAATACCTAATTTATTTTTTAAGAAATTATCTGTTGTATGATATTTATTCCTCAAAGAATTTAAAGTTAAATCACTTGTTATTTTTTTAGAAACAATCATTCAACTTTACATTATTTATGCATCATTTAAATGAAATTAAATTCCCACGCAGATACTAAAATAAATGTAATTTATAAAAAAAATTTTATGTAGGTAATGAATTAACAACCTATTCCAATTATTGAAATTATTTTATTCCTATTCATAATTTACAGATAGTCTATAGTAAATAATAGTACTTACTACCTAATTATATAATAAAATAGAAGAACAATATATATATATTGTTCTTTTATTTTATTCAAACTAAATTTGTCAACCCTACCCAATTATAAGTGTTCCGTATTAATTTGTTTCAATATAAAATTAAATATGTTTAGGTAAAATACAAACGATTAAAACTTCGAGACGGAGCTGTTCCTTCAGTGTTTCCTGGTCCGGCTTACCTATCCAAACCAAATCCAAAATGTAGGAAATCACATACTCTTCGACAAGGTATTGTTGATGCTGTATTGTTATTTATTCAAAACCACGGTTATCTACTCTTATCTAGATAACCGTGTTCAAAACTAAGCAATTTTCCTTGTACAGAATCTATTTGCAAAACAGCATCAAAGTTAAATTCTACAAGTAAGAACTAGTGTTCATTTTTTAGTTTTTTAGTTTGTAAATTTTAAAGTAGATATTAGATATTTTATTTAATAAGGTTTTAAATATTATTTTACATTTATTATTGTAAGCTATTTTAAAATATTTCTATCTTCCCCATGTCATACTTTTTGTTTACCAACAGTTTGAAAAAAAAAACAATTATCTTACATGTAGATACCAACATGTTTTATTTATATTTATTTTTCAGGTAGTTTATTTAACGATGTGAATCAAACACAGCTGTTTCAATGTCCTGCACCTTGGATAGTTATGCCAATGTCGGACATTGAATGTCTAATGTTGAAGAATTTTGTGTGGGACTGTTTACAGTAGGGAGTACATATCCTACAGTAGAAAAATGTATAAAAGTAAAGAAGGATTGTGAGGTATCATTTTGGATTTATGGCAAACAAGTAAAAAATGATGAATTAAATATTGTACCTGGTGAAAATATTGTAAACTCCATACAAAATATTAAAGACTTGAATCAGTATCAATTTGTCATGGTGGACCAAAAGCTGATATATTTCCAGCAGTTTCAGAAACATTATGTTCTATATCTGCTGTTGGACTACTTCAACATATTGAATGCTCAATAACTATCAAGTCAAACATAAAATGTTGTGGTAAGTGCAAATCATTACAAGATATTCTTAGATTGAGAAATAAGAGGAAAAATTATGGTTGTAAGACAAAATTATAGCTAACGCCTACCAAAAAGAAAGTTATTGGTGACATTAGAAGAAAATCAAATAACCACCGTCGAACTGTAGTTAGAAGAAATAAACAAGGCATACAGTTGACAAATGAATTGAATAAAGTTCACAATGAAATGGTAGAATACTCTGGATCAATAGAAAAGAAAATTAATAAAGTTATCAGTAATGAGTCACATTAAAGTCTTATTAAAGAATGTTTTCAAGCAGCAAAACTTACAAATTCCAAAAATCATAGATATAACGAGAACTGGCTCATGCTTTGTTTACTTTAAGATCTCCTTCAGTTTATAAATATTTAAGAGATTCAGAATTATTACCACTGCCTCACCCTAAAACTGTTAGAAAATATTTATCATCAATTAAAACAACTTGTGGCTTTGATTCAGATTTTTTGAGTCTTCTTAAAAAAAAAGTTTATCATCTGTCTACAATTGCTAAGCATGGAGTTCTACTTTTCGATGCTGTAGTCTTCGAAAAAGTCTGGCTGTTAACTCATCAAATTTAAACTAAGAGACCTGGAAGATTTTGGAGATGAAAGAGACTCAACACATCAAAAAGAATACGCTTATCACGCATTAGTGTTTATGTTTCAATCTTTGGGGACAAACTTTTACCAAACTATCGGATGCTTTGCTTCAAAACGATAAGTCAAAGGTAATGATATTTAATTATAAATCTATATTAACCTACTACAAATTCTATTCATTTTTTAAATAATTTAAACTATTCATTTCTCAGTTTTATTTAAATACTGTATTGTTAGGTGTTATGATTGCACAATTGATATTAAAGGCCATAAGCCTCTTGGAGAATATTGGTATAGTTTTCGATGGTATTGTGTGTGATGGTGCCACTACCAATAGAAGAATGTGGAAAGAGCTAGGGATTGATGGTTCAACATATGGTTTAATAAATTATTTTGAACTTCCTTGTGATCCAGCTAGAAAAATGTATGCCTTTTCATATTTTGTTCACTTATTCAAATGTGTACGTAATAGATTGTATAAAAACAAAAGACTGCAAGTATGTATTTTTAATTTACAATGACTCAGTAATTAATCTCTTCTATTTAAATACTTAGAGCTTATTATAACAATTCACAGTATTAAATTTATATTCTGTCTTTCTTTTATCTATTTAATAAAGATACCTAATCTTATTTATAACTAATGGGTGAAATTAATTAATATTACATAATTTAGCTGCACTCATTAAGAAATGAAATTTGTTGGGATTATTAAAAACAAGTGTATTATGAAGACACAAAACATTTGGGAAATTTGCGAGCAATTCCTAGGATAACACCACAACACTTAGATTTAATATCCATGTCAAAAATGAGAGTTCGATTGTCCTCACAAGTATGTTTAATAATTGTTATTATTAGTTATTTTCAAAAACTACAGTAGTAATTTATTAAAAACCTTTTTTTCTTCAGATTTTCAATTCTAGCACGGCAAAAGCTATGAGATACTATAATAGCAAAGGATGTCTAGCTCTAAAGGGTTCTGCTGAAACTGCAGACTTCACCGATTTTTGGAATAGCTTATTTGACAATTTTAATCGGACACTCCGATGGCAAGGATTGAAATTAGAAAATGAAGGTTTTCAGGTACAATTATTATTTAAGAAATAACTTACGATTTATTATGTACCTAATTATATACATTATTTTGTGGTTTTCTAGACCTTCAAAGACGAAATTTCTTATATTGACAGTTGGGAAAATGAGATGAAGACCGGTAAGATAAAACCTGAAGATTTCTTAACCTTGACTACACCTTCAGTCACACTTCAATCAACAATTGACCTTTCAAGGTACTTACTTGAAAGTTGTGGATTTGATTATATTTTAACTGGAAAGATGTGCCAAGATTAACTTGAAGTATAAGCAATAATTCTTAGAAATAGTACAATATTGTAGTTTTTATGTAATGTATTTTTTTAGAAATTTTTCGGTATTATTCGATAGTCCTGCGGTCCAAACGATCACCCC